GGGCACAGCAGGATCCTGAGGAATCCTAAATCTGACTTCTCTGCCCTTTTTAGAAATGGGTAATGCTGTTCCCTCTGATAGCCATGTTTGTGAAGACACCCATGAATACTTGAGTGGCACCCAGCTGTAACATAGCTGGGAGGCTGTGAAAGTGCCTGAAGAGAGAGGAACTTGCCAGAAACACACCATCCGAAATACTGGAGAGTGACTTAATGTTAGTTTTAGGCTGGCTGTACCAGCCAGAGCAGTGTGGCACACTTCCCATTACAAGAATATTGTTTTCTTTGGTATTCTCTTTTTACCAATATTTTCACAAGTGCTTTTCTGAATTTTTATCTGTGGGGTTTTTCTTCCCCAAAAAATTCCATCAAGAGGGACTCCAGTTTAAAGCCTTTCTTAACCTTGCATAGACTTGCTCATGAAGCTTATCTTGTTTGTTGGACGACTGCAAGCAAGCAAGTTAACAAGGTTGCTTGAGTTAATACATATCTCACTCGAACCGAACCGTTACTTCCCTACTTAGCTAAATGTTAACAATAAAACTGAGACAATTGCAAGCACTTGAGTTAGTGATGTAAGGATTCTATTTATTTACTAGTAATTTGGAGCCAACTAAGAGATGGTTCAGTGAATTAGAACTCTTGCCGGGATAGCAGGAGCATTTTATTGTATCAGGGTTGCCCACAGGCTTTGCTTGAAGGGCTGCGAACTGTGAAACGGGCTCAGATTGCTTGTGTTCCACTTCTTTCCAGAGAGCTGGGAAGGGAGGAAAAGGAAGAGAATGGGAGTGTGACCTGTTGACAGAGGAGGGTTGTCAGAATATGTTTGACTAAATGCTTGTCCCTGCAAAAAGGTAAAAAAACAACCAACTGAAGATCAAATAGATGAGGGTGGCTGCTTTTCTGTCGTGACTTTCTCTGTTTGCATCTTTGTCCTTTCCTCCTGTGTGGTGCTGGTGCAGCACGTCAGGAAAACCTGACGCACTGTGTCTGGACAGGCTGGTGCCATCACTGAGAGACGTGGCAGCTCTTAGAAAAACATGCTTATCTGTTGCTCATCTTTGAAGGCATATCAGCAGCCATTGCTGTGGCTTGTTAACATCTAATTCTCCTGCTAGCAAGATTAAATAAAAACTGCTAACATCTCTGAAGTTTCACGCCTGAGCCAACCCACCCTTGTCGTTTGTGGCCAGGAAGGCAAGTACTGGTTTTCTTAGAATACTAGAGGGAAATTTTGCTTTCTTCATCTCATGCAAGTCAGGCTTGGTAATATGAAAACCTGGAAAAGCAGCCAAAAAAATTCTGCTCTGAGCTCTTTATTATGGGGAATAGGAGATAGTATCTCACCTTTCCCTGGCTAAATTTTTAAGTGTGCAGGCTGAGATTCAATTAAGTTGCATCTTTCAGAGTCAAAGCCTAAACATTTAGTTGCCATTTAGTTTAAAAGTTACTATGTTATTTTTAAAAATAAGGCATTTTTAAAATTTGGACTCTGCTATAACCTACTCATCTGTAATACATTGTCAGCTAGAATGGTGGTGTTTGCTTTTTCTGTCTCTGTTCCGCTTTCTCTGTCTCCGCCACCCGGTCACACAGTTAGCTAAGGATACTTTCGTAAGTCAGGCTGCGAAGGAGCTGTGTGAGACTTCTGACAAGGAGGAAGGGCCTGGGGTGGGGTGACATTACGACGTAGAGAGAGGTGCTTTTACTGAAAGCTTTGAAATGGGCCAGGTAATTTCTGTGTCTGTCCTTAACGCACCTGATCCCCCCTGCCTAGAAGGGGTCTGACCTGCTATGGAGGAAAAGAGGAGGAGGAAGAAAGGACTCATCTGTAAAGAGCAAAACATCCTGTTAGGGAAGTAGCGTTATATTGGTAGATCCTAAGATGTAAGTACCTAGGTCTCGATGAGGGGCAAGAGTGGTCCTTCAGATGATTGTCCATGGTGCTTTCCCACACCCCCTTGTCTGGCCTCTACTGTGATGTTGAAGTGATGAGTAGTGACACCAGCTCTATGACTTTTGGAGAGGCTTTATTTATTATCTTCTAATTTCCTATAATTGATTGGTGGATTTTGACAACAGGGTTTGTTGTAGACTGTTGGTTTTCACCTCACTAATAAGATGTAGCTGAACTTTTTAATAAACTTTTTTTTTATAGGGAGAATATGCCATCTGTGTATGTGTGTGCATGTAGGTTGTTTCTAACCCCTTCTTAGCAGCTGACCGTTCACAAACTTCACCTGAATCCTCTGGTTTAGCCTGATCCTTAAAGTCATGTTTTAGAAGGTTTTTTTCGTGGCAGAGGACACTGTGCTCATGCCCCAACCGTGAGTGTGGGAAGCTCCACGTAGCCAAGGACTTCCAGCCAGCCTCGTTCCCTATAAACAGGGCTGTAGTATAACTGTATTTATGAATTCCTGATTACAGCAAATTAAACATAGTTGCAAGAGCCGGAGGTAAACATGCTGGTTGACATGAAGCTGGTGTTGAGCCGTGGCAGCCTGCGGTAACAGGAGAGAACCAGAACTGGTAGTTTGTCAGTACTCGGTGAACGTGCCTGAGGCTGGCCAAGTTGCGGGTGGCAAGTCGTGGGATGGCTGCTGTCACTTCTTGTCCATGTCTGGAGGAAAGAGCAAATGCCAGCTCAGGTGCGGCCAGGGAACGTCTGAGACATCGCCGTGCTGTCAGCTCCACCTGGCAGCAGAGCTCCAGCCTCCACTTCGGAGGCGACTGAAGGACCTTCAGAGATCCCTGGAGGTGGGCAGGGACCTTGGCACAGGGTACCCTCGGCTCGGGAGGAAAAAGGGTGCTCGCTTGCTGTGCAAAACCAAGGGAGGAGGGTACTGGTGATACAAAGCAGAGGCTGCCTCTGTAGCCACAAGAGGGCTGTCCAGTCTTTGGGTTGCACTTCTTGTTCGCTGTCAGCAAGCGCATACTCATCCAATGCAACGTTGTCTTAAGCCCCAATGTACCTGAAGGAATTGTGCACGGATCCTGTAAACCCGTCAGCGGGAAATCTGCAAGGCTGTCCTTGTCAAGAGCTGTGCGATTATCAGGAGGTGGCTTGGCCTTCTGTAGGTGCAGCTGTCAAACAGCGTATAGTGGACTTCTGAGCAGTCTCCTCAAGGTGATGTGGGGAAATGTATTTATTGGTACTACACAGTAATCTGTTTTTCAGCTGCTTGCCAGTTCTGGTCAGTCACAAGCTCACTGCTCACATTGGTGTTGTCCCGCTCCTGGGCTCAGCGGCCTTTGCAGTTCTTCCCCCCTCTCCTTTCCCCTCAGTGTAAAAAGAACGATCGGCCGTGATGTTTAACAAGGGTCTGAGCAAAGCTTGCTAAAGCTGATGGGGAACTGTAAAGGCAGATGTAATAACTCAGACTGCTCAACCCTGCTGGTTAGCATCTGACCTGATCCAGGAGTTGGTGGGAGGAGAATCTCCCTCCGGGCAAGCTCCTGTCGTCTTCCTGATGGAACAAATGGCTTGTTCCTTCCTTGTGGCTCTCCTTGGAGGCTGTGCTCATCTTTCTCCTTCCACCATCGGTTTTTGTGTGTGGACAGAAATTTCAACTTAAGTAATGTGTCGTGAGTGAGTCAAGCTGGCAGGGGGCTGACAAAGGAAGGGAAGGGCTGCCAAAAGCACTCTCCCCTGAGAAGTCCTTCCTCTGGGCCACGGCTGCTGATTTTGGGTTAAGGCTTAGCTGGGGGCCAAATGTTAAGGGTTTTCCTGTGTGGACAGTTTCATCCTGGCCCTAAATCAGCAATGCCTATCGAGTGTTTTGTTTTGTTTTTGTTTTTTTTTTCTTTCAATTTGTAGAAGGTGCTGGATCTCTGCCATGGCCAGGTGGCTCTGCAACTAAACCTGGAAAACTGAAAGGAAAGAAAAAGATTTCTTCGGTTCGACAAAAGTTTGATGTAAGTGTCCATGGTCAAATGGTCGTGGCTCTCTGACATTCTGTTGGGGGTGAAGAGCTCTGCACAGCATGCAGTTTTGATTACTACCAGGAATGATGAAAGTCCGTCACGTGCAATGATGTTTGTTGTATTTGTTTTGAGTTCTGGATTGGGGCAGGAGCTGGGGGTAGTAGCTGCTGCCTCTCTTCTGGAAGCCTCTCGGGAGAAAGGCTACAGTGTGACCTGGCTTTGTTAGACACCAGAGGATCCATGGAAGTACACCTAACTGTCCAGGTTGCAAAAGCTTGTAGGCCAGGAACAAACTTCACTTCACACACCTGCTGAATTCTTGAAGCAAAAGTGACTTCCTATTTATTCAGGCAGTCAGGCAGAATTCTGTGATTGTATGATCCATTCTGCAGAACTCTGTAATCCAAAGTGTTAGAAGTAAGATGTTCCTTGGGTGGAATTTTCAGCAGGTCGTTTCAGAATTGAAAATGCATTGCAAAGATGCTGTCTTCTCGTACGTGGCAGAGAAATGCATTAAGATCCAGTTAACTTTGCAGTGAAGGCTCTATACATCCATCTGGTACTGTCACACGTCCATCCTACAGATGTTTTTGTGCTGCCAGACCAGTGGCGGGGGGGGCCTGGTGTGAAAGAGGATGGGAATGGGGCACTGTCTTCAACGGGCGGGGTTTGATAAGACGGTTGAAACTGAATTAAGAGTTTGTTGAAAGGGGGAGTGTCTGTCTGTTACTGAGCTGGATTTATCAGGTGTCTGAGCACATCGTGATCTGGCTCAGTTCTGTGACAAGGCAGAAAACTAACCGAGCAAAAATGACCCCAAACCTCAAGTTTTGCTTGTTGGTTTATTCAGCTGGATCAGCATTCCTTGTGGTTGGGTGAATACCAAAGCCAGTGCAAAGGAAGAAGGGGCAGCCATATGGCTGGGGATAGGGGAGAAAGGTGGGCACGTGAAACCTCCCGCTCTTACACTGTGAGAAGTCAACTTGGCTCAGCCAAAGTGCGTGCCGCTCTTCTAGGGACTATCATTGTATGTGTGTGCTTCAGCGACTAGCCTTTCAAAGGGATGGGAGTCCAGCTGAAGGCTCGTATTTAGAAACTGCTGAAATATTTTGTAGTGTTCACAGCTGCAACCTGAATTCTGATGGCAGTCTGTGTTATCTTTTTGTTTTAAAACTTCACCGTAGCTTTTCAGTAGCAAGTAGAGGAGAGTTTAAGAAGCAAGTCGTGATGTAGTGGAAGTCTTGGAATTTGGTTTACTCGGATACCCCTACGTTACACCACGTTTCTAGAGTGTTTATACACGTGTTCCTGGAATGCTTGGTAGTAAGTACTGTATGAAGTGTATGTTATGATTAACGGGCTTGTCTATTACTAGTGGCATTCCTAGAACTTGAAGTGCCTTGATATTTCCTGATGTTTCCCTCACTGGTCAGAATAACAGCTGTGAATGACCACAGGTTCATTCCAGTTGGCTTCTGCTCTCCCAAACCACATTCCTTTTAAGAGTTGCTTACATTTTTTTCCAGGCATACAGGCATGTAGCTTTCCTGTAATGAAAGCATATGTCTTCAGAATTACGGGGAGGGAAACCTGCTTTCACATCATTAGTGGGTGGATTGGTTTTTCACTCTGAGTTAAATGCCACACTGTCCTTTGAATAAAGCAGCCCCCCTTCCTCTCCTGAAACTAAGATGTGAGAAATCCACTTTGCTGTATATTCATTGTTTATATTCAAAGTATGCTTTTGTCTTGGTGCCCCATAAGAGCCTTGTGGCAATCTTCATTCCAGAGCCACCGGATTTGTGGCTTGGAGAGCTGAGGGACAGGAGTTGGGAGTACTTGATGGGCTAGGGCCATGTTGTTCCCTTGTGGATTGGGGCTGGGCCAAGCGCACGTCTGGGCCCAAGGATCAATCATTCCCATCTGCTTTTTTTCCCCCCTTTACCTGGGGACCGAGACTTCCCAGGAGCCACCACAAACACTCAGAGCTTGAGACGCCGCACATCAAGGGAATTGTGCTGGAATACATGTGGCCTGGGAAATGGGGGTTGCCACCTTCTGGTATGAACTCCTGTTCTTTTTTCTAAATAACTGAGTCAGTTCTGAAAAATAGCCATAATCCATCTCGGCATCAGTGGCTGCTCAGTAACACAGCTCTGCTTAGAGTATTGAAAGTGCATGAGGAGACTAGAGTATGAAATTCAGAACTGCAGTTTGGCTGAGTTGTTGCATTTAAAGCTTTAAAGAATTGTAAGAATCACATAAGCTTAGGATCATGTTTTTTAATCTTAATAGAAACTGTACAGTTAGTAAGTAAAAATACACCCTTCTGCACAAGAAATGACTAAATACACAAGAACTCTTCAACATGGAAGGAGGTGACTGAGAGATGTGAAAGTCCGTAAAATCACCACTGGCCTGGATAGCGTGAACAGAGATAAAAGGGACCATGGCTGACCATGTTTGAGACTTACAGGAGAATCAAATTAATCTAGCAGGTGCGAAGTACAGAGCAAACCAGAGGAGGCGACTCCTCATGTGGCGTGTTGTTACACTGTAGAATTTCTTGCTGCAGGATGTTGTGGATACCCAAAGTTTAGGTGGTTCAGGGTGCTGCTGGACAAGTTCATGGGCTGTTTAATAAAAGGACACCAACACTGGCTCAGAAATTTCTTTACTCACAAATTGTTGGGGGTTGGGAGAGTATCCTGGGGAGGAATATCACTCTGCTTGTCCTACTGTGATATGTTTTTATAGGTGTTTGCTTTCTGACTGGAGAAGGGATGTTTGGCTAGACAAACCAAAGGGTCTGACTGGACTGAGTATTTATCTTCTTATGCTCTAATGTTGTGTTCATAACAGCACCGGTTCCAGCCTCAGAATCCGTTGTCTGGAGCCCAGCAATTTGTGGCAAAGGATCCTCAGGAGGATGACGATTTGAAGCTGTGTTCTCATACCATGATGCTTCCTACACGTGGCCAGTTAGAAGGAAGGATGATCGTAACAGCGTATGAGCATGGGCTAGACAATGTCACAGAGGAGGCAGTGACCGCAGTTGTTTATGCTGTGGAGGTGAGACTGGGCTGCGCAGCAGTGGTGTTCTGATTATACTAGTGACAAAAGGTTCTGTGTGCAGTACGGGGTAGCGTCCCTCAGTGGGGAGAGGAAACCTGCTTCTCTAATTGCCCGTTTGCCTGGGGAAGAGTAAGATGAGAATCAAAGGGCTTCCAGATTTGTGGCATCATAGATGTAAAGTCTTGGATTTCTGCCTGCAACCGTTAATTTCGAAGTACGTGCATATGAAGAACTCCAGGCATGCTTAAGTAGCTGTTTTGGAAAATGCTGTTTCTGTCACTTAAAAGCAGGGACAGAACGGGAGCTCCAGTTTAAACAGTTCTATAAAAAATAATCTGTTATAGGTGCAAGTATCTGGCATGGAAGTGAAGTGACAGAATCGGGCAATACCTGCAGGTGAAGTGCCTGCTGTTGCTGGTTTTGGCCATCAGTGGTGCATTGCCTGATGTATCCCAGGAATGATACAGCCATTACTTGGAGCGTTGATGTGTGGATGGTTTTCTGGAGTCAGGATGTGGAGGCCAACCTGAATTCCCCATCTGGGAATGAGGCCAAATTAAGAAGCAGCTGTCTGCCTGGTTTTTTCAGACAGTTGCTTCTCCAGCACTTTCCAGGTAATTGAACAGTCTGAAAAAGAGGAGTGAGTGGCTTTTCACTGTAGTTTTAGGGCCAGTATTTCAGTACAAGTGTTAACGTCTAGTGCCAATTATGAAATCTCTTAACTCTTTATCAAAGGGGTCAGGGGTTGGGAATTTCCTAGCATTTAAGAAACCTCTTTGACATTTGAAGCAGCACATCACATATTACAGTACAGCTTACAGGCTAATACATACAGTACACTTGCACAGTGCTGTGTTCTCTGTATCAGATAGTGGAAACATACTGTAACTTGTCCAGATTTTGGTTCCCTTATGTCTTTAGGTCCTTGTGGTCATAGCAGCACTACTTTTGTCTGGCCAATTGGTGAGGCACTTCTCATAGCTGTGGCTTGGTAGGGCGAATAAATTGGCATGTGTAATAAGATTGTTTTTCATTTCAGAACCATCTTAAGGATATTCTGACATCTGTGATATCCAGGCGGAAAGCCTATCGTCTGAGAGATGGCCATTTCAAGTATGCCTTTGGAAGCAATGTTAATCCTCAGCCATACCTGAAGAACAGTGTTGTTGCTTATAACAATTTAATTGAGTGGTAAGGAGCTCTCAGCACCCTGCTAATTTCAAATGCAATTTGCTAGTTACTCCATGGTTTGGTTTCTCTTCTTACTTAGTAGAAACTGTTAATAACGGTGTTTAGCTTTCACGCACCAAGAAGGTATCATTATGGAGGGCTGTACGGCTAAACAGGGAGGGAGAATATGGGGATTTCTCAGCAGTGGAGTTTAGGACAGTGGTAAGTCTCTCTTCCTTGCCTGTGTTTGTCCATCAATTTATGAAGATGACCCCTGGCCCTCGGAATGTCCTTAGTAATTACTGCTTTTTGGAAGCTGTAGTGAGTGACACAGGAATTTTGCTGCTCTCAGGGAAACTGCCCCTGGGCAGAAGAGCCCTGCCTTTGTGAGGGCACCGCTGTGGTGCCACAGGAATGAAATGTCAGTGAAGACCTGTGGGACACTGCTGTCCTGTCACTTCCTGCATCCAAATGTATTTACAGTTCCTTGGCAGGCCTTTTCAGTTAGCACGGCTTCAAGGTCATCTTGTTTTCCAGAGTCTCGATGTCAAACAGTTTGTGCTGCGCATCTGGCAGCATGTGAGTATGAGAACGCAGTTGTGTTTGTCTACAACAGCTTCTAGCAGTTGACAGGAGGTCGTGGGTGTTTTAAGATTTGATTATAGCACTACAAACACTACAAATGCAATCCGCTCCAAACAACTCTGCCTAACAGCTAATGTCTTTCAATTTAATGTTGTGGGTGCCTTAATTTTTATGCCGGGTAGAAACTATTGGCTGTAAACAACAAGTTGCCCAATCGAGATCAGTTACAAAGCAGGTTTGAAGCATATTGAGGATTGGTTTGCACTGTTCTTATTAAACTGGAATTTTAAAGAGATTTTAATTACAGCTGAAATATCTTATGTACATAAGGGCTAAACCAACTGATACAGAAAAGGAAACCCTGGGGCCAAGCCCCTCCTGTGTGACTTCCAAAGGTGGTGCTGTTTTCTTGACTGGAAGGTTTTGCTGCCTGCTCTGTCTACAGCCCTCCAACCTGTGTGACACCTGCTGGTCAGAGTTTAGCTCCCCAGCCCCCGCCTGATGATGCTGAGCAGCAGGCAGCTCTACTCCTAGCGTGCTCTGGAGACACCTTACCAGCATCCCTCCCGCCAGTGAACATGTATGACCTTTTTGAGGCATTACAGGTAAGCTGTTCGTGTTACCCTGTCGTGTCAGGACAGGCAGCGCTGTCCTGAGTACCAGCTACCAGTCTTGGATTTGGTTTACATGCACAGAGGGGTATTTGATTTCTCCTCCTGCAGTCTATTTCCTTCTTACCCTCTCAAATTTACAATTCTTTGGCTTTGACTTGTTCCCACTATTAAGTAACAGTTAACATACAGTCAGCTCATGGTTTAGTGCCTGTTCTGCTCCCCTTGATCAGAGAGTTGATGAGGAAATCCCTGTCTTTTCTTACAGCTACGTAAGAAGGGTGAACTCTTCCTCTGTAGCAAGACTGCAGTGATTAGATCAGAACTGAGCTAGACTGAGATTTTGACAGCAATGCAGCAAAATGACTTGCCTGGCATGTCCCTTCTTACTCCTCATGTTCCACCCTGGGTACTTAGAAGAATACCTGGTCCTGGCATGCAGGCTGCTGCAGTGGGTTAGCTATCATCACCCAACCCTGGGGAGGTGTCTAAGGTAGGCTGGGTGAATCTTCCTGTGGAGGTGCGTGCCTGTGGTTCCCTCCCTCTCTGGCAGCTCTGGGGACATTCAGACTACTTTGAATGTCTAAAATTAGCTGTGAGAAATTGCCCCACGATCTCCGCTATTGCACACAGATGTTGGGATTTTGTCTCAAGGCTGTGGAGACAGACCATTCTTTGTAAGAGCTGTAATCAAGCATTTGCCTCGTGTTTAGTCAGATAGAATTGTTTGTAAGATTTTGATGACAAATTGTTGTTTGTCATCGCAAGAGCAAAATGATGATTTCCTTATCATGCTACCCCCTGACAAAATGGCGTAACAGGCAGTTTTTCTGTGCTGGCTGGTGTGGCAGTGCTGGCAAGTTGCAGCTCTCATGTGTGACAGCCTGCGTTCCTGCTGTGCAGGGTCGGCTCTCTGATCATCCTATAGTAGTGGGAGGTTCTTACATGGGCAATACGGGGAAATGTGTATGAAAGCATGGAACTTGTTTTCTAACACGTATCTCCAGGTGCACAAAGAAGTTATTCCTGCGCACACTGTCTACGCTCTAAACATTGAGAGAATTGTCATGAAACTTTGGCATCCGAACCACGAGGAGCTACAGCAGGATAAAATCCATCGCCAGCGCCTCGCGGCAAAGGAGGGCCTTCTGCTCTGCTAGAGCTAGGCAGCCATGTCAGGCCTCAGTGCTACAGTGCTGTTCCTTGAATGTGACATTCAGATGCTTCTTACAAACCTGTGTCAGCATTTCAAGGATGATGTAAGTTATGAGTCAACTTTTCCTATGGAAATATGACTGAGTTGCGGTACACTTTCTCTGCTTCCCCAGAGTCATGTGCCATGCAGCGCTTGCAGCAATCCCACTGAATTGGAAAGGAGAAACAAGAGATTTGGTTGCAAAGACTGTTTTTTAGGAACAATAAATGTGAGGGTGGAAAGAGTTGGTTTTAAATAAGGTGTCTTTTTGTTTTCTTTTGTGAGCATGGGGAATCTGCCTCCTCGCTCTACCCTCTCAGGTAGTTTCACTTCTGAGCTCAGTCTCCGGGGGCCTTGTCCAGCTTCTGTTGCAGTTGGTGGGATCCTTTTCCATTCATTTGACTGGAAACAGGGTGGGCTCTTGTGAAGTGAAGATGAGCAATTCTGTAAGCTGATGTTGTTCCTTTTCTGCCAGAGGAACTTCTGATGAGAAACTTTGAGAAAACAAAGCAAAAAGGGAAAGGTCCATTCTAGCCTGTCTTTTGAACTGTTTTGCATCACAAAACACAAAGGTGCGCACTGTCATAGGAATCTCTTGCCACTTACCAAAATACGCAATAAAATCAGGGTTGAGACTAATGTTTTCCTGTGAGCCTAGTCCTGAGTCACCCTTATCTTGTAGTAGTTGTGACCAGATGTTCTAGGAGTTGTTGGACCTGTGACAAGAGGCAACCTCTATGCCTGTCAGTACAGCTAACGATTTAGCCATCCCAGCAGGCAGCTTGACCATCCCTGAGGTGGGACAGCAACCCCTGAATACATATACCAATTCACTGTCTTAGTGTTGCAGACTCCTTGGATTTGCAGCATGAACAAGATGTCTCGTATTACTTTATTGTAAAAAATATGCAGCCTTGTATTACTTCATCGTAAAAATATGCAGCCACACCTCTCCTCATGGGGAGCTGTGCAGATTGCTGTGTGTAAAAGGGAAAATTCCACCTGCTGTCTTTCAGGTACTCTACTGTCTTCCTGAGTCACCTGTGTACTCCTCGGATGCTGAAGGGAACAGGCTTATTATAGCATGAGAATTCTAATTAAATGTCTTGATGACTGTATTGCCTGTTTTTAACTACACCTGTGGAGGTACCTGCTGAAGGATGACTTGACTTATTGTGCCTCAGATAGTGGAATTGAAACAGCTTCCTCTGGGGGAATGTGAAAGGGGGACCTCATGGTTCCCCTCCGTTCTAGTTTTCCTTTGTTTGGGAAGTATTTGGGTAGGAGAACTGGCATCTTTCCCCTCTCCTGTGCAGCTTCGTTCTCTACTGTGCCCCCAGGACTGAAGAGGGTGCAGGTCCCTGATGTTTCCTCCCAGTTACCTTTTTTATAACTTCCTTTCTTGACCCTCATGACTGTTCATATTGGACCAGAGTTGTAGCAAGGGGCTGTGCAGCTGTCGCTGTGTTCCTGGCTTTCCTGCATCCCCTCGTGGGATGTGTTCTTGAGTTAGCTATAGCAAGAGGCAGTGCCCTTGCAGATATCGGTGGCCCTCATCATGAGAAGACCATTTTAGGATTATTAAGAAGCTGGGAAGCGCAACAGCAGAGAACTACAGCAGGGCCTGGCAGGATGAGAGCAGTTGTACTTGGTAGGTCATATCTCTTAAGGTATGGCAGTGTGTGGTTAAGAGGGGAGTGGGAGAGAGAAGATGGAAGATTTCTTTTGGTCCCTTTCCCTCAACTGCCATTTTTTTTCCTGTATTAAGCATACATAGCTGCTCAGAGTGAGCCTTAGCTTAAAAGTTGACCCCAGTGGCTTTTACATGATAAGTTTTTAAAAGCAACATTAACCTGAGTAACTGTATGTGGTGAGATCATGAAGTCACCCAAAGTACGGACTCTGGGGTGTGGGAGGGGGATTTCCCAGATAACTGTTATGCTTCTGGTGTAAAATGAAAGCATTAAGTTTGTTTGCTAGAAACTTTGGGGCAGCTCTGAGGATTTCAGATCTGAAGAAAGCACGCAGCATCTGACAGCATCACAAGTGAGTTCTGAAACAAAATACTAAGTATGGCACAAGAAGTGCCTCTCTCTTCTGTTTGCATGTGCTCTGCAGACAGAGCCTCATGTTCTGAAGAGCTGAGTCATCTATTCCACACTGAAAAAAGTGGGTTATTTGGGACACCTGCTAGACAACAAAGGCTTGAATAAGGAAATCCTGTCAGCCCCATTTCACAGATCGGAAAACTGAAAGGCACATATTCTCAATGCACTTTCCCACAAAGCCTGAGGTCTCGTGAGAAGTGATGCTTCATAGACTTCTGGGGTAAGTTAGCTGGAAGGGACGTCTGGAGGCTGCTTTGTCCACCCCCACCTGAAAGGAGGGCTAAGTTCAAAGTTAGACCAGGTTTTCTGTCTCCAGAGATGGGACCAGAGAAGTGGTGGCATTTCCTGTTCCAGTGTGTGACCATGCTGATGGTGAAGGTTTTCCTTGCATCTCATCAGAATTTATGATGTTGTGCCTGTTGCCTTTCAGCTTTTCCTGTGTGTCTCTTTGTGGCTCCCCATCAGAGAGCAGCAGATAACAGTAAGATCTCCCTTTTGCCTTCTCTCCAGGCTGAACAAACCCAGCTCTCAGCTTCTCCTTATACATTGTGTGCTCCAGCCCAAACCATCTTGATAGCCTCCACTGAACTTGCGCTGGTATGTCACTGTCTTTGTGCTGGGGAACCCAAACTGGACCCAGCTCTCCAGATGGTCTCAAAAGTGCTGAGCAGAGATGCAGGATCCCAGCCTCTGCGCCTGTTAAAAGTTGGCCTTTGCACGGGTGCACTACTGGCTGCCAGGTTGCTTATCCACCTACACTTCCAGGTCCTTTCCTGCAATGCTGCTTTCTTGCCTGTTGTCTCCAGCCTGTTCTGCTGCAGGGGGCTACTCCATCCCCGTGGCAGGGCTGTGCATTTGCCATTGAACTTGAGGTTCCTCTCAGCCTATTTTTCCAACCTGTCTGGGTCCCTCTGAATAGCAGCTCTGCCCTTCAGTGTATGAACCACTCCTCCCAATTTGGTGTCATCTGCAGACTTGCTGCCCATATGCTCCATCCTATCATCCAGGTCAGTAGCAAAGATATTAAAGCATAAGAAGCTCCAGTATTGACTCCTAAGTGTTGGTCCCAGTATTGTGTGCCACTAGTAACCAGCAGCCAGCTGGACTCTGAATTGCTGACCACTGCTCTTGGAGACCTGTCCTGAGAGCTGAGAGATGGTACTGATAGGTATTGCTATTAGGCTGGTGGCATGTGGCATGACATATGTCTGTCTTCACTACAACATTGAGCCCTCTAAAATGAATAAGATATTGCTGAATTTCAAAGCAGCAGCTCGAAGTACCACTGAAATTGGTTTGGAAGGGTCTATCTTCTGCCTGAAGATCCACCAAGAACCTGCCAGGTCTATGGCAAGCTGAGCTTGACCAAAACTGTTCCTGACAGATCTTAGCTGAAAAACTTAAAATGGAAGCTTTCAGAGTTATCTTAGGCAACCTGTTGTGTTGTTTAGCAGTCTTCACCACTGAAGGCTTTTTCCACAGTCCTGTGCCTCTTGCTGCAGCTTAGGCCTAGAACTTGTTGTATTCACCCCAGAGTATTGTATGGAAAGACAGAAGGGAAGGAATGAGACGTCATTTGTCACATCCCCAATAGTGAGAATTGCATCCTACATTCTTAATCCAGTAGGAACTGTGCAATATACTGAAAGTTGCCACTTGGGAGCTTCTAGTGCTTCTAGCTTCCATGCCTAGATTTGCAGTGGAAAACCATTAGCCACCACATGAAGAGGGGGTGGAAAAAAGTGCTTGAGAACTTCACCAGGCTCACTTCATGGCCTGAGTTTGGGTGAAGGTGGCCATCTGATCTCAGGATGTGGTCAATGCCCCTGGGAGTGTAGGATGCAGAAAGAAAAATCTCTTATTTTTATTTTTCAGACAGTTCCAGCTGCCAGACCTGGCTTAAGTCTGACCAAGCCTTTCCAGCTGGGTGCCAAGGAGGATCCTAGAGATGTGATTATAGCCCTCCTCAACACCCCTAACTAGCCAATCATCTTTTGCTCACAAGACTGGTGATCGGGAAAGATGTTTCTCATTGCTGGTTCACAGCAGAAACCTGGAGCATAGCACTTGCTATCAAACATGCACTGCACTGTCTTTCTCTTAGCTTAACTGCTCATCTATCCCTTCCCAGCCTTCCAGCTCTTTCTTCTGCAGCTGAGGTGGACTTTTTTGGTTGTTGCCCCAGTTCTTCCTTCCTAGCAGAAAATCCCCCTGTTGTAGAAAGCTGGGATTAGGCTTGATGCAAAGAGTGGCTCCTCTGTTTGAGGGCCAGAAACTGTGTGCCAGCAGTGCCTAAAAATGCAGATTCTGGTTTCTCAATAGAGAAAAACTTAAATTAGTGACTTTGTACCACCTTCCTCCTACTTGACCTCTAGGAAACCTCACTTCTGGCAAAGAGAGGAAAACGAGGAAATGAGACTGCTTGCATTTGTGTCTTTAACTATGAATGCCCAAGAGCCCCAAGCTGGGGTTGCAGAAATGCTCTGCTGTCCAGCCAAGCAAAAACAATACCAAGAAAGGAGACCTCCTTTTGTGCTCCTGGGGTGGAAGGAAGCGTGTGACCTATTGCTGCAGTCTGATGTCGTCAAAGAAGAAAGTCTCCACAGAAGAGGGGAGTGGTAGCTGTTCCCTGTCAGGGACTTGTAGGTGATGATGGCTGTGTCTTGCTGACCTGAAATGATGTGCAGAAGGGTTTGCAGCTGTGCTGTTGCAATAACATGATGCCAGCAAGCTCTCCTCCCAGAGAGAGGCGCAGCTTGTGCTGCTAGAGGAGGGTTTCAGCAGTGTCCCTTCAACAGGCCTTGTAGAAGGAAATAATTTCTCAGAGCCGAAAGGTTTGCTTGTGGCATTGCCTGTCTTCACCAGTGTGGTTACTGATGTGGTCTGGTTAGCAGGAGGAGAGGAAGAATCCACCAGCCTGCCTCGCAGTTACTGCAGAAAAAAAACTTCATGTGTAGCTGTGGCTGTAGCCTGGGGCAGTCTGGGAAGCCAGGCAGTGTCAGGCAAGTGCACCCTTTGTGTCTCTGAGGTCTGCATTCACCAAATGTGGAGGCAAGCACAGACACTGCAGGCTGAAGGGACTGTCATGTGCTTGGCACCCCTTGGGCTTCTTTGTGCAGCAGCAAAGTCAATGAAGTGTGCAAAAGT